AGAAGTTCTAAGGCAGAGACAGAGATGGCGATCTTCATTATCAAGCCTCATACCAGGTATTAAAGTAAGTGAATAAAGACAGCACATCAATCGGCATGTGGATAGGGCGTCTTTTCTCAAGCATAAGTGGATTTAAGTTGTAACCAGGCCAGGAAAATTTTGCAGCTTTCATTATTACTAACAGTAAGGATGTCTGATGAGGCAGAACAGATTCAGTAGAACAAAGAGCTTATTTCTAGTGAATTGATTCAGAGAAAATAAAGCAAAAGCAGACTGCAAGAAATTCTAGTTTTAAAGAAGCCATAATAATTCCACTATTCTCAAACAGGAGATCTAGGGGAATTATCAAGTCCCCTTCTAGTCCTAAAATCCTCAAGCAAGCAACTTCAACTCCTCCTCTGAGTAATTTCAAGCATACTTTTCCCCTTAGTAAGCAGAAACGTTACCATTTTCTTTCAACAGGCACAAATGCAGGGAAAACAGCAGAGTTTCCATAGGAAAAAATAAGAGAAATCAGAAATAAAAACTATTCCAAAAACTGTCTGAATTGTCTGCTTGGAACAGAAGGATCTTAGAAAAAAGAGAATTTACTGCAGGGATTATTCTCTCCTTTCTAAGTCTGTATTTAGCTTTCACATTTGGAAAAATACATTCATGATTGATATTGGGAGCTTTTAATATTTACCAAACATACTGCAGTCCTGTATTAGATAATCTGAGTATCTTTAAGCCCTGAGTAAGTCTCTTTATTTGTCAACAAGTAGTTGATCCGATGAAACATTTAAAAAAGAAAGAACATGAGAGAGGATACCAAGCCTGGATGATACATAACCTCCAGCTACTACTGTTCATATTTCTAAAGAGAAAGCATGGCGTGTGGATAAACCACAGATGACTTTCTAAATCAACAGGGCAGCAAGGTCACATCACACCAAGAAATCTCTCGCCATACCTTCAATTATCTATCAGGAATAAAAGGCCAGAAAGAGCTCAAGTTCTAGCACCAACCAACCACAAGCATCTCCAAGGAATCTAGACTATAAAATGCCTAGCTTCACCAAAGGTCCTGAGTTTTGTTTCAAATTCCATCTCCAATTTTCACTAAATATTTCAGAAATAGGAAATATTTGGGGTTAGTAATTTTTCCATTTTGTTGAAAAGAAATCTTTAAAAAAATTTAAAAATAAAAGGGGGGGGGGCCTGGGTGGCTTGGTTAGTTGGGCATCCAACTTCAGCTCAGGTCATGATCTCACAGCTCGTGGGTTCCAGCCCTGCATTGGGCTCTGTGCTAACAGCTTGGAGCCTGGAGCGTGCTTCAGATTCTGTGTCTCCCTGTCTCTCTGCTCCTCCCCTGCTCACACTGTGTGTCTCTCTCTCTTTTCAAAAATAAATGAACATTAAAAAAAATTAGAAAAAAAAAAAGAAATCTGTTTCATGGGAAAACAGTCACATAATTCAAAGAAAAAAAAAAAACCACAGGAAACTTAAAAGTCAGATGTTATACTTCACACTGAAATGTATTAATACCAAAAACTCATTGAAACCATTAAACACACAACCTGAAGCCAAAATAGAAGAGATGTTCCACTCCCTCTCAGCAACAACTGAGTTAAGTAGTGATAGAAACTGCACTTAAAATTACCTAGGGCAGGAGACACATTTGGTGACTCACTCTCCTTTGATGTCTGCTTTTAAATTAAAGAGCTGTTTTCTTTGGGAAGAAAAAGGAGGGAAACTTTAAAATTATCCCTTTAAACTTCAGGTCCAATAAATTAAAAACCATTTTGCCTCATGGTCTCGGTTTCTAAGTCAATTCCTTTTTCCCCCCCAAAATCATGAGTCATATATCATCTGGTACCCATGAAATTTACTTCCGCAAATTCATTTAATTAATTTATTGAATGCCCACAAGTGAACAAATACCATCTGAATTCGACGAAGACGCTGATTTTTAGCTCTACCTCCTCCTAGCACTTCCATATTTATGTCGGAAAACGTGGGTTATTTTTCTCTCATCTTGAAAAAAAGAAAGCGTAGCAAAGAAATTTCTCAGAGAGCAGCTATCACGTAAATAAAAAGATAAAAGAGGAAAATGGGCGTTCTCTATCCCCAACGCCTCCTTCGTGACTTTTTAAATGATTTAGAATTGCTTAAATATCTACTAATCTAAACATCAGACTAAATCATTACACGCTACATCTTTATTTGCTTTGGTAATGGAATAAAAAGCAGGGAATACAGTTGGCGTGTATGATTTCAATCCTCAGACAATACCAAAGTTTGAAGCCAATGATTTCATGCCGCTCCCTGTTAACTTTTCATTAACCTAGCTAACAAGAAATTGACAGACTGAGATTTCAGATTGTTGTATTTCCCAGGCTCTCCCTCTGGCGGAGGCAGGAAAAAAGGGCACCGCAGAGAAAAAGAAGCACAAACAAGGGGTATGGTAGATAACAAATAAGACGAACAATCCTAAATAAGAATTACTGTAAAGCAGATAGATAGAAGCTAAAGAACAGTTTTGCACTTTCAGTTCTCGGACTCTGTTCTAGAATTCAGCACCGCCTGCCCAAAACAATGGCATTAGAGCAAATGATTAAATATCACCCACAGCCTTCCCCTGCGACACCCCGAGAAAAGACTTCATCCACTTCAATTATGATGACACTGCTCGGCAGTGCGTGAGAAGCAATAATACCGAACATTTTGAGTAAGCGAGGCCCACAGAGAGCAAGGCGAGCTCGTAACCAAAACTCCAAGAGTTTCCCAAGCAGGGACCAGAACACAAAGTCTTTGCTCTCAGTACCGGCTGCAGAACCGCTGCCTCCTACCGCCCACCGATAAAAAGGGGATCCTCCACCGTCGAGTAGGGGATAGGGGATTCGCCTCCTGCCGCCAAATCTGTCCCTACCTCCCCAACCCAAGCCCACCGCCTTCTCTCTTCAAAGCTCCCAGAGAGGAGCGCCACAGTCTCACTCCATTCTTCCGCCCCGCTCGAGACGAAACCAGCCACCACCCCTCTCGGACCTGTCCCCGCGGGGTCCGAGTCGGCAGCGCGACGCCTCCATCCCCGCAGCTCAGGAAGTGGCGACCACGTCCACAATCCCCGACTCTGCTGCTAGGGTGGCAAGGCTGGCAGGCATCCGGGCCCCGCCCCCTGGCAACCACACTCTGCACTGTCGCCACCGCCTATTGGCCCTCGTGTCCACCGCTCTTCTCTCATTGGCTATTGCTGCCGCCCCAAGATGCGGGAGGGTTTCTAAGGGGCGGAGGCGCTAGGAGTTAAAGACGCCTGCGCGGGAGCTCTGGTGACGCGCCAGTAGGGCTGGGTCCATGGACCGCGGCACCGGGAAGGGGCCGAGGGCGGAGGGATGTGTTCGCTTCAGCAGTGTTGGCTTCCAGCTGCGAAGTCACTTCGTCGGAGGAGCGGCCCATCCCCCTAACCGCCACCCACGGAGCGGCTTCCCCACATCCCAGCAGTGTCTACTCAAAGACCACCCAGAGCGCTTCCAGAGGTCTATGTAATGTTAGGACTCATAGACCTCCGCCGACTCCGTCACAGTCCGGCCCCTCCCTGACACCAGAGCCTTCCGGGAACACTTGTACCCACTACGGCAGTCATTCCCGGGTAAATGCATCTTTCATAGTTACCTGGTCTCTCACTCCAATTGAACAAAACTTCAGCCCCCCTTCCTCCAGCCCAAACTTTTAGAGCATTGCTAGACCGACTCTACAGACTCTAGGAACCTTTCCCATTTATCTTTCTCTACAGCCTATGAACGATCTTCAAACATTCACATCCCGTGAGATCCGCTATCTAAATATGTACTCTCCTTTCCAATAAACGTTGTCGCCAACCATCACCTCCTTCTCACCACCAACTTATACATATCATTATAGCCTCTACAAAATATCCTGGCAAAAGTTATCGCATTTTATAGCATTGCGAGGTCAGCTGTTTCCACATCGGGTTCGCTTAAGAGGCACAGGACTTGGCACAAGCCGGGAGAGCAGAGCATCGCCTTGATGTGTCAGCCTCCACTCACTGTGTGACCCTAAACACAGTTCATTATCTTGGCTTCAGATCCCCATCTATAAAATAAAACGAAATAATCCCTGCTTGTTTAGCTTGGGCTGAACAGAGTAGGTTCTTAAAGCTGAATGGCTGCAGTTGAAGGAGACGCTATCTGTGTTGGCGAAAGGGCAACGGAGGCAGTTTTTGACTGGGTAGTTTCGCATTAGTTATGGTAAGCAGTCTTCTCTGAAAAGTTTCCATATTTAATTACATATTTTAAACAATCATTACAAGAAATCATTTTCCCACCCTGTGTGGTATTTTCAGATTTGTTTGAATGGAAATATAACCAAAACACAGCAAGCTTAAGTAACATCTCTGTCCCCTTTTTTTGCCCCTGATCCCACTGTATTCACTAACACAGGGCTTGGCACCTTTCCTCATCCTGACTTTTTAGCAGATGAGCAAGGTTGCAGAGGTCTAAAAAGGTTGCTCAGCTCTAAAAAGGTTGCTTTGATTTTTCCATCCACCATGCCACAAAGGAAGCTGCCGCTGAGCCTGACACAAGAGTTGGTACTCAAAAATGTGGAATGAATTAGGTTGAATGGGGTGATTAGAGGATTAATTAGTGGCTTAAAAAAACAATGAAGACCTTTTGTGGAGAAGGCAGTATTGCTGCATGATCAGTAATCAGGAGCAGGGTTCTCTAAAACCTTTCTGCAACCATTTATTTACAAACATTTTAAACAGTTACTATAAGATACTTTAAAATTTTAAACAGTTAATAGAAGAAAAATTTGAACTGTTTATGACACTAAAAACTTTTTAGGAAAAGACATTTTAAAAAGCAAAGCTGGGAATCAAATTCCCTTATGACTCCAAGTCTCTAGTTAAACTATCTTTTTTCTGTTGATGTTACTGGCAGTATTTGCATTTTATTCTTCTGACATACACTTCTGTGAGCCAGAAAAGTAATTTAGCAACTCTATGAAAATTTCTTGAGATTGCTGCTGTCTGAGAAATCCAGTGAACTTTTCACAAGGAATTGGTTTTTATTCAGCTTCCCTCTCTCCCTGAGGTAAGTAAACAAGTGGCGTCGTCTCCTCCATGTGACCTTGATCCCATACTTCTCCTCAGGAGTGTCTTTAACTAGAACAGGCCCAGGCCCTGGGGTCTTGGGAGTACTGGTGTGAAAGGAGCCACTTGGAAGGCTATCTTCCCTCTGATCTGGGGGAATGGGCCCCTCCTTCACAAACGAAGACTCTGGGGTCTGAATATCAGGTGGAATGAACACGTAAGGTAAGTTTTGAAGTGTATGTGTGGACAGCTCCCCACAGCTTTGAGGACTGAGCACTGGAACTAAGGGCCTTCCAGAAATGCACTTTTCTGACTGATTGGCGCACTCCCTGGTTAAGGGGATCCCAAGTGTGGCTGAACTGGAAGACGGGGGGCTCTCAAATGTTAGATGTGGAAACTTGGAGGTGATGGATTTTCGACTTGAAAGTCTTGCCTGGTTTCGGCGATGGTGTTTCTGGTTCATTGGGAACCAGCTTTCTCCTGTTGTATCAAACTGAGGTGAAACCTAAGTAAGAATCAAAAACAAAAACCAAAAAGAAGTGAGGAGGGCTAGGTACCAGGTATGAACCTGAAGGAGGAAACTACATCCAAAGACCAGAATCTAAATGGGGGCCCATTATAGTAATGGACACAAAACAAAACATCTGTCTAATGGGACATTAAGAGAAAGGGATAGGAGCTGTGGGCAAGTTACTCAATCTGGTTTTCCATTTCCTCATGTGTAAGAAAGGGGACAATGCCACCTTCACGTTATCACACCACATGGCTGCAATTTGCTTAATTATCTTTAAACCTTGAGGGCAGAGACGGGCAGTGTTCTTCGCCTTTGATCCCCAGCACCCAGCAGAGTGCCTGGCACCAAGAAGGCCCCCAGGAAAGTGAATGGATGGATGCAAGAATCGGGAGTAGATCACATATGGACAGCAACTGGCCTAAGACCTGGCACGTGATGAGTTCTCAATAAATGCTCACTCCTCTTCTCATCCACAGGATTCTAGCATTTCAGTTTCTTCTACAATTCCGAAGCAAGTATTATGGTTCTTCCTAGCAATCCTGAACAAGTTTTATTAATCAAGCACTCTTACATGGAGATTTTTGCTTTTGTCTGGCCCTTGGCTATACCACCTCTCTGAAATATAGTAGTTCTGTTCTCTTCCCAGCGCTTCGAAACTGTCAAAACACAACATGCCATGGTGCACCTGGGTGGCTCAGTCGGTTGAGCATCCAACTTTGGGTCAGGACAGGATTTCACAGTTTGTGAGTCTGAGCCCCAATCAGGCTCACTGCTGTCAGCACAGTGCCGGCTTCAGATTCTCTGTCCCCCTCTCTCTCTGCCCCTCCCCTACTCATACTCTCTCTCTCTCTCTCAAAAATAAACAAATATTTAAAAACAAAAAATAGGACATGCCATTTTCTATGAAACAGTAAATATAGTGCCTAGCTAAATATTTTACCTCTCACATGAAGCTCAGGGAATAATCTCATTGTTTACTCATCCTGCCATTTGTCTGGCTTTTTCACCCAGCTACTGGTTAATGAAACTTTTATACTGAACTGTTTAAGAAGAATGTGGGGGGAAAGACTCCAATTCCAACCAGCCCTAGCTTGAACTTAGAAAAGATATATACCAGAGAAGATGGCTGATGACAAAAAGAGTACATTGCCTCCTTGTCCCTGCCCCATAAATCTTATTCTTTGGAGGCCCTGGTTCAAGGGGCAGAAGAGTCAGCATCCTGAGAAGCCTAAATGAGCAAAAGTCAAAGTTAGAACCCCATGGCCTACCCAGGAAGTGATGGTGTTGTGGTCAATGGGCTTGCTGGCCACCTGTCTAGTGTGAGTGATGGGAAGCTGTGCAGATCCATAGTGGTGTTTGGGGCCCTCCAGTGGTGGTTGTTGGAATAGCAGCTGGGCTTTCTGGAACCCTTGGCGGCGTTTTTTTCTGGGAGGCATCAATAGGTGAATGAAGAGCGGTTAATAACCACATCATGCTAGCTGTAGTCAGGTCGGGGTACAGGCTCCGATTCCAACCCATGCCTGCAGAGAAGAAACAAAAGCTGGGAAAAAATAATTCCGATGATTCCGTCCCCAGCTCTTCCTCATACTCTGCCAGCCAGTTCTATCAACCACCATTCCTACCTCAATACTTTGGGGGACACAGCTTCCTATTCCTACACCAAGTAAAAACACGGTAGTTCACATTCAACAACATTCAGTCAATGAACAATTGTTGAGTGCCATGCTGGGTGCTGGGAATTTAAAGATGAAGAACCATTGATTCTACAAGCATTTATCAAGTGCCAAGTACTTGCAGGGACTCATAGGTGAGACTGTCCCTTTCTTCAATGAGCTGAGAGTCCAGCAGGGGGAGAGAGACAATTACAATAATGAGGAGAATGCTTCCACTCATTCCAGAGGAGGCTTTTAGACTTTCTAGAGAGGATGATATCTGACCTAGTATGAAAGGGCTACAGAAAGCCAAAAAGCTGAGAGGGCAAGGCCCTCTGGCCTGCGAAGCAACACATACAAAGGCCCAGAGACTTGAAAGGGCACTGTGAATTCAGGGTATTGCAGCCTATGTAGCCAGACACAGGGTATGAAAAGATGAATATAGGAACTGAGAGGCTAGACCTGGTGTCAGGGTCAGATAAGAAAAGCCAGGAGTGCCATAGGAGTTTGGACGTTAGCCTAAGGAATCACCAAAGATTTTCAAGCAGAAGGATGTGATCACACCTGGATTTTTTTCTTTAACTTTTTACTCCAGATAATTTTGAACACACACAAAGGCAGAATGAATAATATAATGAGCCTCCAACAACCATTAACCCATAGCCAATCTGGATGCATCCACACCCTTTAATCACCTCCCTACACCTGTATTATTTTGAAGAAAATATGACATTCCCAGTCTTTGTACCATTCCCATGAATAAACCTTACATATATGTATTCTTTAACATTATTACATATCCAGACATGTTCAATTTTTTCAGCAGTTTCATAAATGTCACAGTTGGTTGTTGTCTTTTAGACAGATCATCCTGGCAACTGTGGGAAAGGAGAGAAGTACCCTGGAAATACAGGGACCAGTTTAGGAGGTTTTGCTATGTTACTTAAGTGAGAAACGATGAGGCCTGAATCTGGGCTGTGTCAGTGGAGATGGGAGGCTAGAGACAGAGGCAGGATCAAGGATCAAGGACCCACAGAGTAATAAAAAGTCTAAAAAAAGTGTCCACGGACTCTAGTAACCAGATCAACTTTAATAAGAACTTCATCAGTGGAAGAGTGGGAAAGATGTTTGAATTCAACACAGCAGTGAATGGGAGGAACAGCCGGGCATCCTAGAAAGTCTGGCAACAGGGCAGACTGGCCATTCGTGATGCATTCATACAGCCAACAATCAAAAGTAACCTGCTCTGATTTATGTCACTAGGCCGTGGAAATATAGGGAAAGAAAAAAGGAAGGACAAACTCTCTACCTCAGCAGCTAAACATTTTTAGGGAGAACACAGGTAATACACACATCTACTTGTTCATTCAGCCACTCAACAAATATTTACTGAGTACCAACAGTGCTCCTGGTGCTGGAAATATATGCCAGAGAACAAAATGAAATCCCGCCCTCATGGTGCTTACATCCTAGTTGGGAAGTGACTATGGAGAAAAGTCAAACAGGATAAGGGGTTGAGCCTACTTAGTGCTCCTTTAGACAGGGTTGTCAGGGAAGGTAACTGAAAAGGTGATATTTGAGAGGTGCCTGAATGGCTCAGTCAGTTAAGCGTCCAACTCTTGGTTTCAGCTCAGGTCATGACCTCACAGCTTAGTGAGTTCAAGCCCTGCATCGGGTTCTGTGGTGACAGTGCGGAACCTGCTTAGGATTCTCTCTCTCCCCATCTCTCTCTGTCCCTCCCTGATTTGCACTGTCTGTTTCTCTCAAAATAAATAAACTTTAAAAAAAAAAAAAAGGTGATATTTGAGCAAATACCTGAAATGAAAAAAGGAGAATAAGCAATCAACAGAAAGGCAGAGTGAAGAATACTGCAGGCTTCGAGAACAGTAAATCCAAAAATCACAAGGTGAGAATATGTCTGATTTGTTCAAGAAACAGTAAGGTCAGCATGGCTGAACTGGAGAGCAGTAACAGATGTGAATGGGTTCACAGGCAAGGTTAAGGACTCCAGATTGAATTATTCCTAGATAGGAAGCCACCACAAGGCCCTGGACAGGTAAGGGACATAATATGATTTATACTTTTCAAAGATAACGTGAGGTGGTTTGTGAGAAAAGGTGTGTTGGGGAGTGCGGGCGTGGAGAAAGGCAGCAGGACAACCTAAAGAGTTGCTACGGGAGTTCAGGGGAGAGTTGACAGCAACAGCAATGGCTCCAGTCAAAAGTGGTGACATTAGCCAGCCTGCAATGGACACTACGGTGCTCAACAGCAACCCTATTATGTTTCCTTCATCAGCTCATTATCCGCAATGATTATCCTAAGATGTTTCCACTTTCAGGGGCACTTAGGTGGCTCAGTCGGTTGAGCATCCTACTTTGGCTCAGGTCATGATCTCGCGGTCTGTGAGTTCGAGCCCCATGTCAGGCTCTGTGCTAACAGCTTGGACCCTGGAGCCTGCTTCGGATTCTGTGTCTCCCTCTCTCTCTGCCCCTCCCCTGCTCATGCTCTTTCTCTGTTAAAAATTAAAATAAACATTAAAAAAAAAAAGATGTTTCCACTTTCTTAAAACTTCAGAACTCCCATCCTCTTTTAAAAAAAATAAATAAATGCTTATTTATTTTGAGAGAGAGAGCACGAGAGGGGGTAGGGGCAGAGAGAGAGGAGAGAGAGAGTCCTCAAGGAGGCTCTGCACTCAAGGGCCCCATCAGGGGGTTTAATCCCAGGAACCATGAGATCATGACCTGAGCCAAAATCAAGAGTCGGGTGCTTAACTGAGCCACCCAAGTGGCATTTCCCTTCTCTCTTAACAAATGACCTTACTTCCTACTTCCAAGGAAGCTGGGAGACACCAAAGAAAATATTCTCACTTTCCAGAAACCAAACATACAAACCTATATAGATCCGTATCCATCCTCTTTATGTGACAATCACAGATCACTCCCTTCACTATCTAACACCTTGCCCTCTGGCTGTGCCTCAGAGCATTCCTTACTCTACACCTTTCTTAGGCAATCGGTTCACACCTAAAAGTAGGTGACTTAAGTATTTATATATTCAGCCTAGAGTTCTCCACGCTCAGGACCCATATACCTGCTGCCTACTTGACAGCAACCAGAGGACTCAAATGCACCTCAAAACCCAATACGTTTAAAACTGAATTCGTGATCATTTCCCCTGCACCCGCTCCACAGGTGATTACCTTCCAAGGCCCTTGCTCAGGGAATGGTACCACCATTCATGTAGTGATGCAGCCAGAAACCTTGACATTTCCCTCCTGTCTCCCCATCCAACAGCACCAAGCCCTGACGATTTTATCTCTTAAGTAGGTCTTCAATAATGCCCCTTTCTCCCCTGTCACTCTCTTTCTCTCCCCACCACCCTTCAATTCCAACAATTCTGATCCGGAGTATTGTAATAGCCTAAGTGGTCTACCCTAATCCACTCCAAAATGCCCTGAAAATGCGTCATCTGATCTTGACTCACTTCTGCTTAAAATGTTTGATTTCTGGATAAGGACCAAATTCCCCTAGTTACAGCTAAGGTCCTACTTCCTGTGGCTCCAGCTTCATCTCACACCACACTCCACTCAGGCCTCTTAGCTCAGACTCCTCAGATGGTCTTCAGCCTTTGTACCTACCAATCTTCCTCCCACAACCTCCTTGCACACCTTAATCCTTTTGCTTTGAGGGTTTCACTCCTTTCTTTGCACAAAGACATCAGATCTCCCAACAAGCTTCAGTTTGGAAAAGCCTTTCCTGACCTACCTAAGGTAAGATCTTATTGTAGATACTCAGTTATCAGTGACCTCTAATTTATCCCTTCACAGCTGTAATTCTCCTTTTGCTTATTTGATTCTTCAAAACCGTCTGTTCTGTCCTCTCTTCCCATTACAGGTACCCAGGGTAAGAAAAGAATCTCCGCGGCCACTGTATCCTAGCAGGTCCTGGCACATAGTAGGTGCTCAACAAAATTTCTTGACTACATTAGTCAAAGAGCTTTATGGTGTGGAACTTAAGATGTTGGAAGCTGAAACGAGATGATAGGCTAGGCGACTAGTCGAGATAGCTAGCCGATCGTTAGGTGAATGGAGTACGGTGTCCCCTGACGGGGAAGCCAAAGGCCTCAGAGATTTTGGAAAAGGCCAGAGGGAGGCGGGAGGAGCGGCGTCGGGGGCGGGATCAGGTAGGGACCGGGAACACGCGAGGGAGCGCAGGCCGAGGGCCCCGGCTGTCCCCGCCCGCCCCCCGCCGCGGGAGCCCCCCTGAGCCCTCCGGGCCGCCCACGGCCGCTCCCTCCCCACGAGCCGGTAGCCTGCCCGCCTTACCCGCCCGGCGGCTTCCCGGCTTCAGCTCCACTCCGCCGCCGCGACTTTCGAGCCCGGAACGCGGAGACAAGGGCGGCCGCCGATTGGCGACGCTCCGTCACGTGACCGCAACGCTCCGCCGGCGCCAATTTCAAACAGCGGAACAAACTGAAAGCTCCGGTGCCCGACCCCACCCCCGGCCCCCCGGCCCGGGACCCCTCCCCTCCCGGGATCCCCCGGGATTCCCCACCCCTCCCGCACCGCCGGGGACCCGGCCGGCCTGGCGCGAGTCCCTGTCCGGGCCCCTGGCTCGGCCCCCAGGTTGGAGGAGCCCGGAGCCCGCCCTTGGAGCCACAGCCCAGCAGCGGCGGCTGCTGCAGTCGGGAGGTGAGCGGGGGGCGGAGGAATGGAGTCTGAGGCCCGGCCCGGGCAGAGGCAGGGAGACCGGGCCCGGGCGCCGAGGTCAGGGGGTCTAGTAGCAGGGCACGCGACCCGAGTGGAGGTTTGGGGCCACACGGAAACCAGGGCTGAGAGAGGGTGCAAACTTTTTCTGCATCCAACCTCCTGGCCTAGTCCTCACTCCTTTCTCAAAGCACCTTTTGGCCTTCCCTGGAAGTTTGACCTCTGCACCCTGCCCACAACCTTGAGAGGGCTGCTGGGGTGGCCTACCTTTCTAGGCAGACTGGCTGGGATGAAGACTGGCTTTATTCTGCATTAAGTCAAAGACAAACCTGTCCACACCCTCCCCTGCTCCCAGGCGCTCTCACCACTAAGCAACACTGCCTCCGCTCCACCCTTTTCCAGGGCCCTTCTCCTGGATCCTGAGAACCTGCAAGATTTCTCTGGTCCGGATGGGCAGTGGTGTCGGAGGGGTCACTCTGGAAGTCCCCTAGGTTAGATAAAGTGTTGGCAATGATAAGAAAAGACTGGTCAGAGAGTAGGAGGCAAAATTAAGCCTTAGACCAGGAAGATATCTTTTGGGGATGAGGAAGGAATAATAGTATCTACTGTTTGGCAGGGGGGAGAGGGAGGCCTGAAGAGATAGGAGGTAGAAGTAAAACTGAGATTTTAAAGTAGAGGAAACCTGGTTATAAAGGAAAGGGAGGGGGGCAGAGCGGAGAGGGCCTATGAGCTCTAAGCAGACAGCAAATGTCATAGGGGTGTCACAGTCATTTTCAGGGAGATAGATGTCCTAAAACAACCCATTCCTCTGTCAAAGTGCCTCTAAATAGGATTGCACAATGGTACATGATAGCAGAGTATCCTGTGTATCTATCTATTTTCCTTAACATTGCAAAATCACCTTAGCATATTGATGATAGCGCATTCTATCGGTCAGGAGATAATGGATTATAGTCTTAGTTCTGGAAGAGAAATTAAGCAATACAGTAACATGCTTAGAAAGTTAAAATATGGATAAGCACATGCAAGTACTAAAATGTCACTATATAAATAATTTGTAAATTGGTACAACATGGTGATTATATACTTAATAATACTATATTGTATATTTGAAAGTTGCTAAGAGAGTAGACCTTAAAATTTCTCATCACAAGAAAAAAAAATTGTAACTGTGTGTGGTGATGGATGTTAACTAGACTTACTGTGGTGATCATTTCAGAATACACACAAATATCAAATCATTATGTTGTGCACCTGAAACTAATATGTTATGTGTCAATTCTATCTCAATAAAAAATAAAAGTACAATAAATAAATAAATAAATAAATAAATAAATAAATCGTAAATTGTGAAAGAAAGATGAACTTTTTATAAATGCAAGGATAATGGCCTGGGAAATGAATAACACCATGGGCCTTGAATAGAGCAGTTTCGTCTTGAGATTTTGTGAAGGAGGTGATGGCATGAGAGCAAGATTACAATCTGCCTTTCTCTCCCCTCCCCTCCCCTCCCTTTGCTTCCCCTCCTTTCCTGTATGGGCACTGATCCTTTTATTTATAATTAAGATGCTATAAACATATACCGGCTTTATCAACCCTAAAATAGATTATGGGAGCAGAGTTTTGTCAGGACTCCTAAAATTGCCAATGTCCTCCTATTCCAGCATTCCTGTCCCTACAGTCACTACAAGTGATCTGTATTATAGGAGGCAGTGATAGGAACTTCCACATTTTTGTAACTGTCCCACTCGTTTCTGTAGCCAAACATTCTTAAGCTTCCAGAAGACTTTTGGCCATGTTGACCTACATTCAACCCAATCCCACTTTCCCCTTTTGAAATGCTTCAGTTTTAGCCTTGTTTTGTCGTACAACTCATCTCCTCGTTGTCTGAGGTCTTTATGAGGCCCAGAGATCATTAACCTGGGCACATGGGCTCATGTTTCTCGTCATGGAAAGAGGAAAACGCCTTTCTCTAACAGAACCTCCTTCTCAGCCTAACAAATCTCTGACATCCTGCTGTTCCTTGCACTTTCCAGGGTCTATACTTGTGATTCTCAATGGAGAGTGAAAGCACAGATTCATAATGAAAACCAGCCCCCGTCGGCCACTGATTCTGAAAAGACGGAGGCTGCCCCTTCCTGTTCAGAATGCCCCAGGTGAAACATCAGGAGAGGAACCTAAGAGGCCCCCTGCCCAGCAAGAGCCTGGTCAAGCACAGGCCTCCAAGGAGGCGGCAGACTCCAACTCTTGCAAGTTTCCAGCTGGGATCAAGATTATTAACCACCCCACCATGCCCAACACCCAAGTGGTGGCCATCCCTAACAATGCCAATATCCAGAGCATCATCACAGCATTGACCGCCAAAGGAAAAGAGAGTGGCAGCAGTGGGCCCAACAAATTCATCCTCATCAGCTTTGGGGGAGCCCCCACGCACCCTTCAGGACACCAGCCTCAAGCCCAAACCAGCAATGATCCCAGGAGGACAGAAGTGGTCACTGAGACCCTGGGACCAAAGCCTGCAACTAGGGATGTGAATCTACCTAGACCATTTGGAGCCCTACCTGGGCAGAGATGGGAGAGCTGTGGTACGTGGCCTGCAAGGCAAAGGAGTGAGGAGCCCAGCCTTTCCTTTCTGGTAGCAAGGACCACAGTCCGTCACGTTGATACCTAACAGGCACCTAGCCTGAACCAGGGGAACGTCTTGTCTTTCTTCATCTCGAATCCTTGACCCAGATCCTTTGGGTGCCATCGAAAGTGCCCCAAGTATAATTTAGCATTTCTACTACTTTCTTCATATTAGAAAAGGATGTTTATTTTTTCTAGTTATCTTTCCCATTGACCATATAAGGAAATAAGAATCTTTCTCCATTTTAATAAAGGAGAAAACTGAAGCATGAGGAGGAAAAGTGACTTTCTTTGTGCCAATACCCAGTAACTCTTTTGTAAGGTTACCTTGACTGATCGTAAGGCTCACTGAAATGCAGCTGGAGCAATGCTCCTGAATTTCTCCTGAAATCCATAATGGGGCAGAGTATCTGAGGGCCACATTAGATTGAGCATGTGTTCCCTGTCCCTAAGGGTAGAGGTCTTAGAGAGCTGCTCCCTAACCACCGATTTCAGTGGGCCTGCCAGGCAGTGGACCGGGCAGCTAAGTGGCATCTCGCATTGTTTCCCCTCTAGCTGGCGGTGAGGCAGCAGGCTGCACTCTCGACAACAGCTTGACCAACATCCAGTGGCTCAGAAAGGTGAGTTCTGATGGACTGGGCTCCAGCAGCATCAAGCAAGAGACGGAGGAAAAGGAGAATCGTCACCTGGAGCAGAGTCAGGTAAAGGTGAACAGTTCTGTCACTCACTAGGGAAGTCAGGGCCAGTGCAGGAAATTTCTAAGAAGGGAAATGGATCAAGTGGCCTGTGGAGGAGAATTTCCAGGTTCCGGTATTAGCACTTCACTTACTGTGATTCTACATAACTTTTGAGCTACCTACCTTTCTGCCTGGAATCTTTTTTTTTTTTTTTGCCCGGTCTCTGAAATTTCCTTGAGGGCAGATTCCCCTGGCTCACTCTGTATTCCATTAACACAAAGTTTAGTACTCTGCCCTTAGCAGGTACTTAGTAGGTATTCACGAAATGATGAAGAGATCTTAGTGTGGAAAGCCACTTGAACTTTAAAGAGACACCCCCAACAGCATGAAAGGAATGGAGCATTTTTAACAAGATAGATTTATTAGAAGATACAGTAAATAGCAAATAAAGTGACTGAGGTGTGAATTTTAAATACTTCCCCAGCAATCAAATTTGATTTGGCCCAGGCTTGTTTTTCACAGTTACCACATTGTTGCATACATCCTTAAATCATTCATTCAACAACCTTTATGAAAGTGAAAATTTGCATGAATGTGTGCATAAGTAAAAACTCAGCTGTTTGCTTCAAACTTGTGCACTTTCTAAAGTTAGACCTCCATTTTTTAAAATGTAAATGATCAGCTCTTTGCCTAAGACTTAGCCAGATGTGTGTTTTGCAGACGTTTGTCTGTCCCATGCTCTTGGGAATATGTCTCTCATAGAAACACTGAAAAGAGACAGTTTTATTCACATCACATTAGTAGAATGCAGACGAAGACCTTGGTCTCCTGACCCCCCAGGTCTGAAAGATGGGTACTGGGCTTCCACTTATTATTGGACAGTATATTTGACAAAATGAACAGTGACAGAGAAATGGCTCCACATTGTCTAGGGACATCGCTACCGTTCCTAATCCTAAAATTTGATTCTATGGAATAGTGGTCTCAGATGAGTTGGTTTCTAGTATAATTCTGCAGGTTAAAGTTTTCTCTAGGGAATGTTCTTAAGGGGCCCCGGGGAGGTCTTATGAACTCTTCCATGTCATTCCTTTTTCTCCTTGCCTTTGGCTTCTCATAACCCTCAGGTTGAGGAGCCCCCGGGAGCATCAACTTCCTGGCAGGACTCTGTGTCTGAGCGGCCACCGTATTCTTACATGGCCATGATACAGTTCGCCATCAATAGCACCGAGAGGAAACGCATGACCTTGAAAGACATCTATACTTGGATTGAGGACCACTTCCCCTATTTTAAGCACATTGCCAAGCCAGGCTGGAAGGTACATAACAACCCATGACAACCCATAGCAACCAAAGTCAAGGTCACTCTGACCCCGCAGTTTGTCTACACAGATGTGCAGCAGTTCTGTGTCTGGTACTCTGAGGAAGCAGTTAAATGCAAAGGAAGCTGGAATTATAAACAATTGCATCTTTTAGACTGTGACTTGATCCTGCTGAATCCAGGCAAAAAATGTCAACAACAGCTCTGCAAAGCACTTCATTGGTCCCTACCTAAATGGAGTCTCTCCAGTGTAACACTAAGCCTACTTTTGCGCTACATTGAAAGGCAGCTGGAGTGACTAAGTAGCAATGAAAAAATGCTGTCTTTGAGCCTCGTGACCTGAGATTCACCTCCTATAATGTCACATGTCATCTCCAGAAGGCAGGGACTTTCTCTTCATTGTACTTGTGGGAACACTGAGGTCCTTTGGAGTTGCTGTAGCTCACTCCACACTGTCAGAGCTACAGTGTTGATTTTCTGACAGGTGGGCAACTCCAAGCAAGGGTTTTTTGTTTTGTTTCCTCCACAGTAGAATTCTTAACTGCACTGTCTTACCTCAAAGAAATTTCCTAGTTTCTTAGTTGCTTTACTTACCTATCTTGCTACTGATTGCTTCATAGCCTCCGTACCCTTTCCTTGCTGCTGACAGCCATCCAGTTCTTTCCTTTATCACCAGCTGATGGCTTTATGGACTGATGGCTTGATGGCCCAGCTTGCCAGCTCTGCAGTGTGGAGCGGCAGGGGAGAGAGTCGCCAATAGGCGAGATCATGAGGATCCTGCTGGCCACAGTGGGGGAGGCCTGAGGCTGCTTTCAGCCTCAGGAAACATCAAAGGTGATAATTCAGAAGCTGAAGTAGCTGGTAACTAGTTGCCTTTCTCTCCTTCCAGAATTCCATCCGCCACAACCTTTCTCTCCATGACATGTTTGTTCGGGAGACATCTGCCAATGGCAAAGTCTCCTTTTGGACTATCCACCCCAGTGCCAATCGCTATTTGACATTGGACCAGGTATTTAAGGTGAGTGTCCTGGCTTCATCTCAATAGGGCCAGAGTTGGTCATCATAATATCCATCTCAAAAGGAAACAAGTCCTCCTTGTGATGATCTTACCCGGCCAGGGCCGAGTTAAAAGCCAGCCAGCCCAGAGATGAGCTGTATAAAACTAGCTGAATTCAGTACAGTTGACAGATACCAAATGACACACTTCTGTGCCAGACCAGGCCGTGGAGGAGACCGCTTTGATCCAAACAGAGGACTACTCTGGGCAGTGTTTCCCTAACTGCCTTGCAGATAAGAATTGCCTGCCACCTGTTAAAAAAATACAGCTTCCCAGGTCCCTCCCTGGGGGCTTCTGACTCAGTGGGTCTGGAACGGGGCCAGGAATACATATTTTTAACAGGCATCTTGGGTGATTCTTACAGAGAAAGTCTGGAAAACCATTTTAAAAGAGCCCTTCTTTAGCCTGGAGACCAGAAATTGAGCCATCAGAACCTCTTTTCAGAAATGATTGTTTGGGGATTTCAGGGTGCCCATAAGGCCGCTATCAGCTGTAACTGTTCTCCTGGGAGGGGAAGTTGTCCCGGGTGGCCCTCAGCATCAAACAGAAATAGCTGTTTTTCCCGACCTGGTCAGATTGGCCACGCTGGTGGTAACTTCATTTCATTTCTTTCCCACAATGCCTGACCGCCACCAGCCACTGGACCCAGGGTCTCCACAATCGCCTGAGCACTTGGAATCAGTAAGATTCTTTTCCTCCTGGCTCGGGGCTTGGCCTTGTTTTCCTTTCACTGCTCAGCATGACTTTAGTGGACAGGGGAAGGGAGCCTGGGGCTGTGTGACTTCCAGCCCTGAAGGCAGAGCACCCCTGAGCTTCTGGGAGTAAGGAAATTTATACTGCCACCTCATTCCCCCACCAGCTTCTGCCCACTTCCCTCCCCTCCCCGCACCCCACGCTCTGGGCATGACGAAGGTTCACTGAGCAGAGCGGGGTGTGGCAGCAGGACATGCCACGGGCTTCGTGCGAGATGGCAACCACAAGTGCATGGCATGGGCCTGGCAGGTGGCAGTTTTCTCTCTTCCTTTTCTACCTAGCTTTTCTTTGTCGCTCCTAGAACAACACGCGTTAGCATCCCCCGGGGGTGGTGAGGACACCCAGATGAGGTGGTAGGACTGTCCTGCCATCATAGATCTGTGTGCCGTCCACCTCTTCCCACTAACCAGGCTTTGGAGACAGTGCTCACCTGCATCTGCCCCAGACGGCCTTTTCTTTCTGGGCCATCGGTTAGCTCGGTGCACAGTCCCAGAGCAGCTGGTGGGTTCTCCTGCCTTCTCCCCCTGCCTTATTAACCCAGGTTTCTTTCTCTCCCCATCTGCCACAAGCAGCAGCAGAAACGACCCAATCCTGAGCTCCGCCGGAACGTGACCATCAAAACTGAACTCCCACTGGGCGCACGTTAGTATGGGAGAGTGGGCATCAGGCTAGTCCTTGCTCTGGGGGCGTGTTTTGAGTCTGAGCCCAGAGAAGGAGAGCAAAGCTCCTGGGATTGAGAAGGGGTTTATCCCTGGACCCCTGCTCCTGATCTCCCCTGTTTCCTCTTAGGGCGGAAGATGAAACCACTGCTGCCACGGGTCAGCTCATACCTGGTACCTATCCAGTTCCCGGTGAACCAGTCGCTGGTGTTGCAGCCCTCAGTAAAGGTGCCATTGCCCCTGGCAGCTTCACTCATGAGCTCAGAGCTTGCCCGCCATAGCAAGCGGGTCCGTATTGCCCCCAAGGTGAGTGGCTTCGGTTTTTCTCCAAGGAGAGACCGCAGTCAATTAAAAGTGTTGGACCTCTAGTTTGCAAAGCACTCTGCTAAGTGTTCCTTGAGAAGTTTGTAAATCTATATGGGTAGACAAGGCATAAATACAAAGGAAAATTCAAGAGCATTAGAAGAGCTAAAAAAGAACTTGGATTACAATATGAGTGGTGTCAGAAGACCCATGAATACCTAATGAGTTTATAAGAATACAGACCAGGGGGATGATGATAGATGGGCTGGGATGGGTAAGGAAGAGTTCACACAGGAAGTAGGTTTTAGAAAGACGTACATTTGGATAAACAGGTGTAGCAAGAGCATTCTAATTGGCAGTGCCATGGAGGCAGGAGATGCCAGTTTATACCTAGTAACAGCAGAGTGATTGGGTCAGGTTTTCATCCTTGGTACTATTGACATTTAGGGATGGATCATTCTTTGTTGGGGGTGGACAGGCGTGGTCCTGTGTGCTGAGGGATCTTTAGCAGCACCCCGTGTCTCTCCCCACTAAAATGTGTCTGGACATTGCCAAATATCCCATAGGGAGCGGAAGAGTGCAGATATGGCCCCTGGCTGAGCATCAGTGGTCTAGCTTGAGGAGAAGGTGAGGAGCCATATCTTGATGGGCTATCAAGTGTGGACATAGAGAAGGATTTGTGAGCAAGAGCTCTCCTTTAATAGAGCAGAAGAAAAGGCCCTCCCTGCCTCCTCCACTGAGATGGCAACAGCATGGGCTCTGGAGTTCAGAGAGACTTGGCTTTGCTTTAGTTTTGTTTTTGTTTTTTTATTTTTTTTAACTTTATTTTGAGAGAGAGAGAGAGAGAGAGAATGCATGTGCGAGCGTGGGAGGAACAGAGAGAGAGGGAGACTGAGGATCCCAAGCAGGCTCTGTGCTGTCAGCGTGGAGCCTGACTCAGGGCTTGATCTCACAAACCGTGAGATCGTGACCTGACCTGAAATCAAGAGTCAGACTCCACCAACTGAGCCACACAGGTGCCCCTATTTTTTTTTATTTAAAAAATACTTTTTAAATATACATAAAATTATACATACTACCATAAGTCATTTTACCTAAATGTATCCATATGACTGTAGCACATATACTGTTCTTGTTTTAATGCAGTCTTTTTTTCTTCACCCACATCCCCCCTGCTGACATCCCCCCCGTTGACAATTTAGTATGCTTGCTTTTATAATTTATCCGTGCTCTTAGTGTACTATACATACATCTTGCCATAGCCATTTTATATAGGCACATACAACACGCAGAACATTAAAAACGGGACCTCGTTGCACTTTTCTGCCACATGGAAATTCTTCCAATTCACTTGGCATTGGCTCTAATTCATTGTTTTTTAATGGCCACCTAACATTCCACTGTGTGGCTATGCCAAAAATTTTCCAGCCATTCCACTTTTATGGGTACATTTTGCTTCTAGTTTTTTTTTTTTTGCCCTATGAACAACACTGCAGTAAATATCTTTGCAAGTATCTTTCTTACAAGTGCTTGTATTTCCATGGGATAGAAAACCAGGCACAAAATTCCTGAGTGGAAACGTGTTACCAATTTTATTAAATATTTGCTAGATATTGGTTTCCAAAATCATATACAGTATTTTACATTTCTACCAGCAATATATGACAAGACCTATATCTTTGCCAGCAGTCGGTATAGTCTTTTAAATATTTGCCCATCTGCTGTATATAAATGATATCTCCTTGTTTCATTTTATCTTTTGTTGCTTATCGGTAAGTGTGAGTACCTTCTTATTATGTTGGGTCACTTGGAATTGTTCTCTATCAGATACTTATTTATGGGCTTGGCCCATCTTTCTATGGGGTTTTGATAATATGTGAAAATTCTTTGTTATTAAAATACTAACTTCAGGCTTTTATGCTGAAGATACTTCTTTTACTTCTGTTGTTTGTTTCTTTGTTTATGGAATCTCTTGCCACAGTAAGATTTTAAGTTTTTATGTAGTCAAATATGTCTCTCTTCTCTTTTACAGCTTCTGGGTTTCCAGTCTTGCTTAAGAAGGTCGCACCCACCCTCAGATTGTACATGTAGTCTCCTAGATTCTCTTTCAGGATTTGTATGGTTTTACTTCTTCTGTTTAAGTCTTTGTACATGGTATGAAACAGGCATCCAATTTTATTTTCTCTCCGATGGGTACTAATTATACCAGCACCATATTAAATGCACTTTTACTCCCCGGAATTGAACCACCGCCTTCATCCTATATTCTCCTATTTAATAGTCTGTAAAAGTTTAAAAAGACAAAAAAGAGGAACAGCACCAGCATGTGGCTTGCTTTAGCCAGGATCTTGTGTCCCGCCTGGTGACCAGGTTGAATCTCAAGGCCTGGAGAGCTCTGTCTCACCGTATCCCTGCTTCGCTTGCAGGTGCTGCTAGCTGATGATGGGGTGGCCCCTCTGCCCACCGCAGGGCCTGTGCAAGAGGACAAATTCCTGCTTGGAGAAAGGCTGTCTCCTCTGCTTCCAGTTCAGTCCATCAAGGAGGAAGAAATCCAGCCCGGGGAGGAAATGCCACTCTTGGGGAGACCCATCAAAGTAGAGAGCCCGCCCTTGGAGGAGTGGCCTTCACCATGCCCATCTGTCAAAGAGGAACTGTCGCACTCCTGGGAGGGTTCGTCCCACTCTCCCACCCCAAGGCCCAAGAAGTCCTACAGCGGGCTCAAGTCCCCAGCCCGATGTGTCTCGGAAATGCTCGTGATCAAACGCAGGGAGGGACGGGAGATGAGTCGGTCTCGCAGAAAACAGCACCTCCTGCCTCCCTGTCTGGATGAGCCTGAGCTACTCTTCTCCGAGGGCCCCGGGGCTTCCCAGCGAGCCACAGAGCTCACTTTGCCCGCAGTGTCCTCCGAGCCCACCTCCCGGCTTGGCTCCTGCCAGGAAGAGGGAGGACCCTTTAAGACACCCATTAAGGAGACACCGCCCATCTCCTCCACCCCGAGCAAGTCTGCCCTCCCCGTGACCCCTGAATCCTGGAGGCTCACACCCCCAGCCAAAGTAGGGGGCCTGGATTTCAGTCCGGTACAAGCCCCCCAGGCTGCCTTTGGCCCCCTGCCTGATTCCCTGGGGCTAACGGATTTTAGCACCACCCCGCTGAAAAGTATCCCACTCTTTGACTCACCCCGAGAGCTCCTCAATTCAGAGCCCTTTGACCTCACCTCTGACCCCTTCAGCAGCCCTTCCCCCTCAGATATGGAAGTCCCCAAGCCGGGCTCCCCCAGGTCACAGGTTGCCAGCCTTTCAGCCAACCGTTCTCTGACGGAAGGCCTGGTTCTGGACACAATGAATGACAGCCTCAGCAAGGTCCTCCTGGACATCAGCTTCCCTGGCCTGGAGGAGGACCCTCTGGGCCCTGACAGCATCAACTGGGCTCAGTTCATTCCCGAGCTGCGGTAGAGGCCTGACCTTACCCTTGCTGCCCAAGCCCTCCGCACTTCCAGGAGCTCGTGCACCTGGGCCATCCAAGCCCTCTGAGTGAGGACAGCAGGCAGGGACTGTCAGCTCCTCTAGCTCCACTTTGCCTGCTTATGCCAAGGCAGATGTCCCGCCATGGCCGCCACTGGGCCCTCTGCAAGCCGCGAGGGCCTGGTGACTGGTCCCTGGGCCACCTGATGCTCCCCAAGAAAATCTGACTCCTCACTCTCCCTGCTAGGAGCTGAAGGGTGAGAACAGCAAAAGAAAGGGTGAAAGAGATTAGGAACCCCCCCCAAACTGTGCCTGTGCCCAGCAGTCCCCCACCTTCCTTGCTCCTTGTAAATAGTGTATATTCTCCAAATTAACCTCTAATTATAAATATAAGCTTATTTCCTTAGATCATTATCTAGAGACTGCCAGAAGGTGGGTAAAGTGACAAGGGGTTTCAGTTTGCTTCTGTTCCTTGCTTTTAATTCCCAGAGAAGGGAGGACCTGCAGTGCATGGTTTCTTCCAGGCCTGGGGTACTTGCCTCAAGGGCTCTTTACTGTAGGCACCCAGACAAGCAGATCTGCTTCCTAGGGTCCCTCTTATTGCCCCTCCCTCCCACCTTCCCACATTTCCAAGTCAGCTTTCCTGCACAAAGAAATCCTGGTAAAAGGTTAAAAGGTCTAATGGGTCAAGAGTTGAATTGGGGGTGGGGGAATGGATGCATCTGAAGCAAAGAATGGGTGTCCAGATGTGCTCCCAAGAGATGTTTCTCTGATAATATCCCTAATCACGCCAGAGAGACTAGCATTGCCAAGAACTTGGCCCAAGGCTTGAGAAGACTAAAAGGGCCCTATCCTGCCCTGCCTAGCTTCCTTAGCTCACTCACACCTCAGCTTTGCAAAGAGCCACCCTAGGCCCCAGCTGACCACATGCATGTGAGCCAGCTCAAGAACACTACCATAACTCAATAAAATCCAGGGTGGAAGTGTGGTCTCTGGTGCATCAGTGTCTGGTCCCTGAGGCGTAAGGAGGGGTTGGAGAAGAATGTGAGAAATATTGGACATGGTGGTGACAAAGAAGAGGTAAGGCCTGAAGCTGAGAAGAAGCAGGTGAAGGAGAGTGCTAAGGGCTTTGGCCTGGACTGCCTCCCACACTGCACAGGCACACATTTTTAGCACAGAAACTGCCAGCTTTCTCTTTAGAACCCCTGAAACTGATGGTTAACTTAGGCCTTTTAGAGATCCCTGTAAGGGAAAGGCCTGCAGAGGGGCAGGACCATCCCCTCCTGCAGGATTAGGGAAGGATGAGCACAGTTTTAGATGCCTCATGGCCACCTCCACCCTAATCCAGGTCAGCCGGCTCTGCTTCTTTTCTCTTCCTGCCCTTCTAGGCAAGCCCTTCCCAGAAGCCCCTCTGGTTACCATCTTTTGCAGTCAAAACTTAGGAGTCCTATCCCATGCCTGTCTCGCCTGAAAGGCAGCCAGGGCCCAGGGGACTGATGAGTGCTCCCAGGGAGAGGTAAGGGCCTCCTCCTGCGACACCATCCAAGAAACATCACCATAGCAACCCCAACAGCAAACAATGCTGCCAGGAAAGTCTTCCCTTACCAAGCTGCTCCTCCTGGCAGTCAGGCCCAGAAGAGGAATGGCCAGTAGCCCACAGAGACAACCCAGAGGGCGGAATAATCCACTCCATGTCCAAGAACCTTTCTTGCAGGTAGGAGGTGGGGCCCCATCTCCACAGCCTATCTGTTTGCACCCTGCTGGACTAAGGCCTCCCCCTGGGATGGGCCATACTTTCCTCTGGTCAGTAGATTGGCCCAGAGCTCTCCACTTACTTCCTCTCTTAATCCTGTACTACTGTGAACACAGAGCTCAGAACAGAGGAAAGGAGGTGCCTGGTTAATACACCTACTAGGGTGATGCTGTGGAAATGACAGAGGAGTGGGCCCAAGAGACAGGTGAGCTTTTAGGATCAATAAAGTCCTAGGGTGGAAAGGAGGGAGAAGCACTTTAGAAGAGCATATGTGATAAGCAGTGCAGACAGATGGCTCAAGTCCCAGCTCTGCCACTTGGGTGAGCTATTTGCCCTCATTGTGTCTTGCTTTTTGCATCTTTGAGATAGGACAGTAACAACGCTTGCTCACAGGGTTATAGGGTTAACTGAGTTGTAGATGTATTTACCACAGTGTCAATACATATTTGCTACTGTTTATTTCACGGGAGGTGGGACACAGAAAAGGGAAGGAGGCAGCCTTCTAGATGTTTTCCATACTTGCTTGCATTTGGATGAGAAGTGAGGGAAATGCACCAATGACAGTAACAGGTCAAGTCCGGGAGAGAAGAGCACCTGGGCTGCATTCTCCCGAGAAAGCTTTTCCTTCTATGCGCGTTGCCCGGTAATGGGCACTACCCCTCACTCCACCCCCCCCCCACCCCATCCCCACCCCCACCCCTCAGTATCCTCAGGCTTAGGATCACCAGCTCCAGGCAGGGGCGCGGGAGAGCCAGAGCGCGGAGGATGTGGAGTAAAGAGTGGAGAGGAGGGAAATCAAAACCCAACAGACGGAGAGAGAGCGAAAGCTGAGGAATCCTACAGAGCGGACATAACTTCTGACGGCAGGGCAGGCGCGGAGAGAAGGGTTCCGGCCAGGCCACCGTGTCCTGATGAGAGTCCGGGGTCCGAGGAGGCCGGCAACTTGTCTCTGCGGCTGCTCCTGGAAAGAGAGGCCGAGCGGTCCCCCCGGCACCCTTTTGTCTCTCCCTAGATGGCCCACGCCCGAGAGCCCCTCCTGACCCACCAACCGCTGGCCCGGCGTGAGTTCCTCCTCCCCAGTGAGCCCGGGGAGTGGCCCGGCTTCACCCGGCAGGCCTACCACCGGCTGGCCCTGAAGCCGCCGCCTTGCACCGAAACGAAATCCGAGGTGCGCCGCCGACTGATCTGCCCTTGGAAGGACGCGGCGCCGCACACGTGGGGCTTTCACACGTGGCTCGATGTGGGCCGTTTGCCAGCCACCTTTCCCACCAGGCCCGACAGGCCCTACGACAGCAACGTGTGGCGCTGGCTGACGGACTCCGGGGCCCATGGCCGCCCCCCAGCGGAGCCTCCCATCCCTCCTCCCTCCTGGATGGGTCCCAACAGCTTTCTGACCTTCACCTGCTGTACTCCCATCTTCGCGGACGACAACAGGAAGAACCAGGTGACCGTCAGGACGGTGCAGGAACTGAGGGAGCTGGAGAAACTCAAGCTGAGGAGTGAAGCAAGGGCACCTCCCCTCGACGCCAAGGGCAACATCCTGCCCTCGAAGAAGTTCAAGAAGTAAGAGGAGCTCCTTCCTCTCTCTGATTCCTGTTTTCTGATGACGCCTACCTTGGTACTCTGACCTTCACGCCTTTGGGCATCTGACAACTAAACTCTGTTCTGAGTGTAGCTGGAAGGAAGGTGTTGGGAGCAAGAGAGGGGACAGCCAGGGGAGAGGCTTAACCGTTTAACTAGAATGCAGGGGATACAACTAGGTGCTTAACACCTGCTAGGCCCTGGCAGTACAGAGAGATGTCATCCAGTCCCTTCCTACAGGGAGCTTATGAAAGGCAGAGACCTACCTACATGCATGGAAAGGCAGCTGACCATTCAAGCCCACGCGTGCTACGTGCCCAAAATGTGACACGGATAGAGAGTGTGGTAAGAACATCAATTACTAGTGGAAAGTCCTGAGATCTGGAGTCAGAGGTTTAGGTTAAAGTCCAGACTAGGCAAATTGTTTCGTTTTTCCAGACTCAATTCCATCCTTGATAAAATGGGGACAGTAAACACCATGTCTTCCAACCTCGGTGAAGAGAAAATGGGTAATGAATATATGAGAGCACTATACAAAAAAACATGTTACTACAGAAATTCAGAAGAAGGAGGGGGTGCTGTGGGCTGGAGCATTCCCCCAGGAAGGCTTTGTGGGGAAACCAGGTAAAGGCTGGAAGGGTAGGAAGCCCTCAGAAAGGTAGAAAGAAGGGGGTAGAGGATTGACTGGTCTGAGAAGAGACAGCAGTGTGGAAGGAGTTACTGGAGTACCCAACAGCCCTCCCTCCCTGCCACTGTGGGAGCACACACAAATCTCCAGTCTAGTCAAGGGGATAAGAGTCAGGAAATGGGGTGGGGAATAAGGACAGAATATCTCAAATTCCAATCCCAAGGGCATTAACAGAAGCACTAAAGGGTTGGAGGGGAGGCTGTGGAGATTTTTGATTTTTTTTTTTAATGCCAACAGTTGGTGATTTTGAGAGAAGATTATTCAGGACCTTGGCTTCTCTCTGCAGCCCTCGCAGTACAGATTATTGGTTGCTAGTATGTGCTAACACTAGGGATACAAAGGTGATAAGACTTAGATCACTCCTCAAAAAATAAAAATAAACTTCAGTGAAATAATAGCGCCAGATGTTCTAATCACTTGAGTTATATTACTTATACCCTCCCACTACCCCAGATAGAAACTATTACTATCAACTCCATTTTACAGAGGGGGCATCTGAAACGGAAAGGTCACTTATTTCGCCCAAGTTCATATGGCCAGTAAGTGGCAGAGCTGGGATTGGAACCTAGAGAGCTCAGTTTCAGAACTGTGTTCTTAACCTCTGTGCTCCACTTCCCCTCCTGTCTACCTGGGGAATCAAACAAGTTCACAGCTACTCCTGATGTGATATAATGTTCTATAAAGACAGCATAAGAGAAATACAGTTATCCATATAAAGAGCTTAGCACAATGCTCAGCAAACAGGAAACCTGTGTGTGATGGTGGAAGCCTTGTGGGTTCAAGAGCCAAACACATCTTAGGTTGCAGTCTCCCCAGCTCAATCCCAAACTTACTATACAACAAAGAAACTTGACTTTCTTTAAGCCTGACTTCCTCAAGTCTGGATTGGAGATGTACCTGGTACCTTGCAGGGTTGTTAGAAGACAAAAAGGCACAGTGCCTGGTGTAGAGAAGGGGGCTCAGTAAATCGTGTCATTAGTACACTGTCCCCATGAGAGAAGGATCCTTGTTTCCCTCTGTTTGCTGCTGGAGGCCCAGTCCCTGGAGCCAGGAATGAAAGAGTCCCAGGCAAGGTTTTGCTGTTCACGGAGGACGTGGTACCTGAGCTACGTGGACCTTGAAGAATGTGTACAAATTCACCAGGTGGGAACCAGACAGGATGGTGGTAAGAAAGGCCCATCCAGTCCTGTTATTCCTTTCGAGCAGTTCTCTAAGGCATTAAAATATAGTTAAAAATGTCTCTAGATCAGCGACCAAGCACATTTTGAACATGAGAGACCCAGAAAGGACTTCAGACAGGTCTAAGCTTCAAGAAGTCCATGATATTGGTGAGAAATAGAACATTTATACATAAACTCATGATATTGCTGAGAAATAGAACATTTATACATAAACCCATGATGTTGAGAAATAAAACATTTATACATAAATAGAACATTTGTACATATACATAAACCCATTTATACATACATCAACTCTGGTTGATGGTACATACAATCACCTGGGTCTTTTAAAAAAATGTGTGAGACCCACCCATGAGATTCTAATTTACTTGGCCTGGGGGGTGTGCAGCTTGAGCACCGGAATTTGCAAAAGGCTCCTAGGAGTGATTCTAATGTGCAGCCGGGCCTGAGAATGTCTGATGTAAACCAAAGACAGTAAACAGGAGGACATCTACTGGACGAGGTGCAAAGCATGTTGAAACAGGAAATTTGCCACTATTCAACTATGTTTTTTAAAAGGTCCATTTCTCTCGGTTGAACCTAACACTACAGGCCTGTAGAAGAGGGAGCCATCAGATCAGGTGTCATATGGCAGCAGGTCAGAGCAGGAAGGGCTCTGAGACCTCATCAAGTTCACCAGATGAGAAGGGGCCCTTGTGTTTCATTCTCTCTTCTTCCTGCTGGCACTGTGTTAGCAGAGGAAGTGGGACTGAAAGACAAAATCTGGATAATGAGATACAATATGTAAAAAGGATAGGAGACTGACCATCTAAACAACATAATTTCACCATCTTAACACCAAACACACACACAGGGTGCATGCTATCTGGATAGGCCAATATCCAATCAGGAGGAGAGACAGAAGTGATTCCCTACAACCTGATCATTCGTTAGCTTGTGTTAGCTTAATAGAAACATATTGGCAAAACATGGCTTTATACCTCAGTCTCAGGATGCGCACGACAAATATACTTTCAGAATACAAATGCATTATTTTCTTGTGGCACTCACATCAATGACAACAGTTGGTCACCCTTTGCCACCATCAAAAATCTAACAGGATCCCAATGATGATTCTTTCTTATTTTGAATGATTTCAGTTTGGGATCATGATTGGTTAGCATTTTATCATTGTCATAAGTTGAAATGATTCAGATTTTTTAAAAAGCCTACAGAATTTTTAAAAGTATTCTCTACATCCAGTGTAAGGCTCGAACTCACAACCCTGAGATCAAAAGTCGGATGCTCTACCGGCTGAGCCAGCCAGGCTTCCCAAGTCCATAGAATTTTTAAGCATGATTTGATATTTAATACTAAGGCTTTTAAAAAAAATTTTTTTTCAAGAGGAACATGAAGAATTATAAATTTGGGGGCTTACCTTTGTAGCATTGTGAAAATAAACTTTGAGTAAGCTATGAAAAAAGCATCAAACTTTTCCTTCTTACTCCTTCCACCATGGCTGCATCCCTCTTTTGACCTCTTTGTTCTCTCCACACCCCTTTCCCCCAACACGTACCGGCACATCTCAGCTGGTGGAAGGTTTGAGCCTGGAGGCCTCCAGCTCATGCCCAACCCACTTCCCAATGATTTCGCCAGGGGCTGGCCCTGCCCAAACCCTCTGCCTCATTACCAGGAGAAGGCGCTAAAACTGGCCTTCCTGCCTAGTGCACCCCTGAGCCAGGACCTCCTGAGGAATTACCAAACCCTGATAGAGAACCGGGTTGCCTTGTCCCTCTATCAACTTTCCAAGGCACAACCTGGTAAAACCTTAGTGAGGAAGACCAAGAGAAGACCTGGACAGAGCTAGAAAAGCCTCCAGCTGGGCAGGGACCACTGTGGGCTACAGCGTTCTCAACCAATGCACCTTCAACAAGAAGCTTCTGCAGAACAGAACCTCTGCACCATCCCTCCAGCTTCAGGCCACCTCTGTCCCCCAGGCTTCTAGAGACTCTACTTAAACTCTAAATGATTATCTGTCTTCCTTGGAGGATGCTCTCATAGCAGGTGGGAGGATTGAATCAGGTAGAGCAGAGAGAGCAGAGGAGGATACAGTTTTTAGGGACAGAATGAGGAGTGGGGAGGAAGAAGGTGTGTGTGTGTGTGTGTGTGTGTGTGTGTGTGTGTGTGTTGGGGTGGGGGGAAAGGCACTGTAAGAAATGTGAATAAGAAATTACCTTTACTCCCATAATCCATTTGGAACAAAACTGGGATTGGTCAAGGTACAGGAAGCTTCTTAGACAAAATAACCTCAATTCCACACCTCCCTAGACCATTTTAATGTTGGACAGAGACCAGAAGCAACTCTGCTGGGTTGCAGTTCCCATGCAGGGTCTGGGGGAGCAGAGGTCAGGCCAAGGCTGGTGCTGGAAGATGGAAAAGTCAGGTCTGAGGAAGGCTGACCAGGTCTCTGTGGAGGAACAAGAGTACAACAAAATGGAGATTCAAGGCAAAATAGTAGTCACCCCAGAGCATAATGTCAGGGCCTTGGGCCTATGTTGTGGTTGACCCCAAATGCCTCAGCTTTTGTCATGGGGGGCCAGAGACAAAAGGCCTAGAGTAGAGACAGGCAAATCGGGTTGGTCAGAAATGTGCTAACCCCAGCTGGGGTGGAGATTGGGTATGGGAAACCCAGTAGAAGGGGCAGCAGGGAGGTGGCTGGAAGGGGAGAAGTTGTATGGTGGGGGCCTACCTCACCTCCTCTTGCCCCTGTGACACCCCAAGTTGGTCGTCTTCCTTGGCTGGGATTCTCCTAGCCTGCTGGCCACTGCCCTCTCACCCACTTTTCTCGAGCCCCCTAGGTACCTGGGTATCAAAACCCCACCAGGGTTCTTGCCCTGGTTTAACCACTGACCAGCTATATGACCTCAGGCTTTCAGTTTCTTCCTCGGCACAGTGGGAGTTACGAGGGTACAACTAAGGGGAATAAATAAAATAAGTGAAGTACCCGCGAAGTGTCTGAACATTGGAGGCCCTCCATAAACGAAGTTACCAACCAATCATTACTCATGGGATGAAAACAATGGATGGGCTATTATACAGTCATAAAAAGGAATGAAGTACTCATACCTGCTACAGTGTAGATGAACCTCGACAATATCACACTGAGGGAAAGGAGCCAGACACAAAAAGCTGTATATGGTATGATTCTATTTACATGAAATATCTAGAATCGGCAAATCCATAAAGACAGAAGGTAAATTGCCAAGTGCTGGGGGTGGGGGAAATGGGGACTGACTGCTCAGTGGGTACAGGGTTTTCTTTTAGGGTGGTGAAAATATTTCAGAACTAAATAGAAGTGGTGGTTGCGCAACATCACAAATGAACAAAATGCCACTGGATTGTATACTTTAAAAATGGTAATTGCTCAGGGAGCCTGGGTGGCTCAGTCGGTTAAGCGTCCGACTTCTGCTCAGGTCATGATCTCACAGCTCCTGTGAGTTCGAGCCCCGTGTCGGGTTCTGTGCTGACAGCTTAGAGCCTGGAGCCTGCTTCTGATTCTGTGTCTCCCTCTATCTCTGCCCCTCCCCCACTTGTACTCTCTCTCTCTCTTTCTCTCTCTCTCTCAAAAGTAAATAAATATTAAAAATAAAATTAAAATGATTACAATAAATAGGGTGTGATATAGTGAGTTTCCAAATTTTCTTCTAGTTCCAAATCTAAAGTTCTATTAATAGTTCTTCTCCTTAACACTTCTCCCCCTGATATGTATGGGGGATGGGTGGGGGCGACCAGAGCCAAAGGGTGAAGGAGAATTCTCTCAGTACTCCAGGGGCTTGCCAGAGCTCTGGGAATGTGCCCATTCTCCCCACTCTGGGTTAGGAATAATGGTGGAAAGCAGGAGGTCCCCTCACCTAGGATCCTAACATGTCAGAGCTGGGCAGGCCATGAGGACACAAGTCGAATCCCCTCAGTGTTTAGGTGGCCAACCGAGGCCCATGGGCAAGTGACTTGCTTGGGGCCACAAAGCCAAGGAGTCCCTGCCCCTCCTGGCAGTAGAAAGGAGGCTGGTTGCTAGGACTCGGGGGCTTGTTTTCTCATCCAGCCTCTCTTCCGTTATTCTACTTCTGCCCATGATGCATGGATTTTGTCACCTCCACAATGAAAGGCCCTGGGGAAACTTAGAAGGTTGGTATGAAGGTTTGGGGGGTGGGAGGAAGTAGGCCATTGGCGTTCTTCAGAGAAGGCTGCCTACCCCCTGGCCTGGAAGGTGCAGGAAAACAGAATGGTAAGGTGCACTTACACAGACTCCTGCCTTGGCCGACCAAGACCACTCAAGAGGTTGCTAGCCTCATGTCAGAAGGACTTCCACCCTTCCCACCAGCTGTTTGCTCTGTTCTCTGGATAGCAGTCTTTTTCCTGCTGGCAGGGAGACCACAGCATTATCAGAGGCCTTCTTGTCCACTGGCCACCCTAAACTGCAGAAGCAACACCCTGGAAATTCCTGATGCAGTGGGCCGTGGAGATCTGAGGGACAATGATAGCATCCATACACCCTCCTGGTCCTGGGGTCTCTTCCAAGGCAAGCCCCAGCTCAACCTGCTGGCAACCATGAACATCCCTCATCCCCCAACCCCGCATTCACTAATAAATATGGCATCCTCGAAAGCCTCTGTTGGGGTGGAGTGGGGGATTCCTGTAACCCAGACCTGCCTTAGAGATCTACTGTCCTACCACAACTTTTGACGGGAAGCAGGGTGAGCATCCCTCCCTCGACATATCACCAACCCCATGGGACACCTTAAGACCTGCTGAATGCCACCAGCCTCATGGAAACTGATTAATCTCACCCAGCATGGAGGCCTCAGAGCCGCTTCCGGGTCAACACCTCCCCTTCCTCAACCACCTTATCCGTAAGCCAGGTATAGTCTCATGAGCTGGATGGCCAAGGCCAGTTCAGGTCCCTGAGTTACCAGGGCCTGAGGGATGGTTGGGGGTCAGTGAGTGCTGGAGGGACTGGGAACCCCTGAAGGAGATGCAGGGGTTTTGCCAACCATGGTCTTCAGTCTTCATTCTTCATCTGGCTCTCTGCCAGTGTTGTCCTGTCTAATTGCCATCCCTCAAAAAGCCCCATTGCTGCTCCCCAATGTGACACATCAGACATCCTCTCTCCAGGCTTCCCCAGATTCACTTCCCACCTTCCTCAGGGCCCTCTGCCCTGTCATTTCTACTCATCACTGACTTGCTTACTCCAAGCCCTTTGTCTTCTTGCTTCTCTTCCACCTCCAAGCCCTCTCCTATTTGTACTGTCTGCTGAACCACATATATATATTTATTTACAATGTAAATAATTGCTTCTTCCTATTTATCATATTTAGTGGTTTTCTGTGGCCACTCATACAGTTCCCCATCTCATGGTAGTCTCAAGCCAACACACACTCTGTAGGTCCCAGGACAGAACCTCACAAATGCCTCCATGCTTGTAAGCTAATGCTATTGCATCTTGCCATTGTTCAGAGGCAAAGGTTTTGCTGGGTCGCTCCCCTCGGCCCACCATCACTCCCACTGGATGTCCACTGAACACTGACACTAGGTATCATATATGGTTCTTAGAGAATAGTCGCTGACTTCGTTAGCATGAATGTCACTAGGAAATGGAGGTCATGTCTAGGGGTGCCAAGGGCAGGCCCAAAGCTTAGGCAAGGAGGAAGGGGGAAATGGAGGGAAATGGAAGCAAGAAAGGAAGCAGATAAACACAAGAGGGAGGAAGAGAAATATTGAAGCCAGAGGAAAGGCAAAACAGGAGTCTCTGAAGCTCAGAGGTCCAGAATATTTGGTGGCTTTGGGCAGCTTGGTCAGATTCTCTGAGGTTATTTGCAGGATCCAGATTTTGACAAAGACCCCCGCGGTGAGAAGAGTTGGCAAATAAATCCTATGCGTGCAAAGGAAAGAGGGGATGAGTAGAATAGGGTTTTGAATGATCCCCTAGGGCATTAGTTGGATTCTGCGGCTGAAAAATTCAGGTGGGGAACTCGACAGGCTGTTCTGGTGTCTCATCACCTGCGTAGATGGGGTAATAACAACATGTTTCCTCCTGTGTCCACTGGAGTCCTGCTGCCCAATGCATTCAACTAATGTCTTAGCCTGGTAGTTTTTGGGGTGGAGGTAGGGTGATACATTTCAAAAATGGTATGACCTCCTGGGACCTTTGCTGGACAGGAGAATTCTGGAAAACAGCTTCATTCCTGTCCTCAGCAGATCTGACAGGGCCAGAGGATAAAGACTGAAATAGAACTGGCTGCCTTTAACCTTCCACGGGCTCAAGGGAGCTGTTTGTCTAGCTCTGAATAACCCATTCTATGAAGAATATTCTGGGAATTTCCTTATGTGGCAGAGCAATGTCTGGGTGATTTCACTGTGCCAAATGAGCTCTCCTCCCCATCCCTACCATCAGAGATAAGAATTGGTACTAGTCAGCCTTGAAGAAAAAAGGTTACAAGAAGAGGTATAAAGATATTCAGAGGCATGAAAGTGTATCACAAGGAAGGTGGGAACCAGTTCATCTCCATCTCTACTAAGGCTTGGACAGGAAGGCAGGGATTCTGAATATAGGTACAGGGATTTAGATTAGATATAAAGAACTTCCTGAGTCAGTGGAGAGTTGCTGGCATAGATTAGATCAGGTTCAAGGAACCAGCTGTGAATCTATTTGGGCCAGTGCCATCCAATAGAAATATAATAGACCGGTATATGTAACTTTAAATTTGTTAGTTGCCATATTAAAAAAAGTAAAAATAAACCAGTGAAGTTGATTTTTATAATGTACTATATTTTATTTAATACAATAGATCTGAAATATTATGAATATAA